GTGGGGGTGGGGGTTGAGGACACTCCTGGGGAAGAGGGTGGGGTGGGGGAGGGGGCACACAGTGTTGGGAGTGAGGCTGCCGCTGGGGGGAGAGTAGTATGGTAGTACCGAGGGGAACAGAGAGAGGGCACACCCGTGAGGGAGGAGGACATCCTGGGGGAGGAGGGTAAGACACCCTGGCGTGGGGACACACCCCTGCGGGTCCCCCACTCACCTCTCCAGCGCCACCTCTCGCCACCCTCCCCACCTGCGCTCTGTGCTTTGGCCCCACTGAACTCACAGGTGTTTGGATACTTGGCTTCCTAATGGTAGAAGGGCCCTGTCCAGGGAGCGCCGTCCATAATCAGTTTGGGCATCACCTCCTCCTGAAGGCCTTCCAGGCTCACCTTCCCACCCTCAGCCCTGCCTGGCACCTGGTACTTTAGCTGGTGTAATCTTCACAAAAGCCTTAGAGGTAAGTTCTCTCATTGTCCCATTTTATAGGTGGGACAGCTGAGGCCCAGGGAGGGCAGATTGGTTGCCTGGCACACCAGGGCAGCAAAAGTGGCTGGCGTTCCAAACCCTGAGCCTTGGGGCCTGCCTTGCCCTGTGACCTCAGGCTCACCCCTCATTCTCTGCTTGTGTCAACCTGGGTCAGGAGTGAGTTCAGTTGGCGGCTGCGCTGGGGGTTAGGGGAGGGCCTCGGCAAAGTGGGTTGGCTGCTGGGGAAACCCCAGCTTCCAGCCCCCCAGGCCAGCCCACAAGGCTGGCTCAGCCTCTTCTGGAGGGAGGAGGTGGGAGGTGAGGAAGAGAGGAGGAGGAAGAGGTGGGGAAAGAGGCAGCAACCTCAGGGTCACAGCCCCACCAGCTGGTATTGCTTGGGGTAGGGGTGGGACAGCCTGGAGGGCAGTGTTGATGAGGTGCCCCCTTCCCCAGCACTGAAAAGGGGCTCCCGACGCAGTGGGGTGACTGAGATTCAAGGCAGAGAAGGAGAAAGCTGTTTCTTCTCTCTGAAGCTGAGCGCCACTCCCCAAGTCCCCTTCCTGCCCCTAGCTCTGGAGCTCAGTCAAGGGCAACCTTAGTTCCTTATTTTGACCTATGGCGTTGAGGGGGGTGGGGAAGTCGTCTGTTGCCCCTGTCTCCTTCCATGTGGCTGTAGACGCCCCTTCAACTTTGCTGAGGCCCCTCCGGCCTCCCCTTGGACCTGCGGCCTGCTTGGGACGGTCAAGCAGGTGGATGCAGTTTCTTCAAGGGCTTTCCCAGCACTGCACACCCCCCCCCCCACTCCACACACACACCTGCTGGCTCCTCACCCCCTGGGCAGTGCCTTTCTCTCTGCCTCTGCCTTCTCTCCAGCCTCCTCAGTCCTCCCTGCCCCGCCACCCCCCAACCCCCAGCACCAGCCTGTTAGCCACGTACCCAGGCCAACAGCAGAGATTAGGAAGAGGAGAAAGATGGTGGCGCGCAGCGCTTGGAGGACTCCGGGACCCCCAGGCATCTCTCCCAGTGGGTTGGTTAGTCTGGGTCGCAGCAGTCCTGGGGTACCAGATTCCACCTCGGCTAACCCCGCCCTACTTCCTGCCCAGTCCTGCCGGAGATGGGCTCCAATGGCCCCACTGCCGGGTCCTCCTTCAGCTGTGGGCCCCAGGGGCAGCCCCTGCCTGTGTGCTTCAGGCCCGGAGTGGAGAGAAACTGCTCCCTGCACCTGTGGCCACAATTCCCCTGGGGGGAGGCTGCTGGGTGGGGGAAAGAGACCAGTTCAAGGCCTGGCTCGTCACCGGCCAGCCCTGGGACGGAAGCCCGAGGGAGCCAGAGTTCGAAGTGCCTGTGCCCGCAGATGGTCTGTCAGGGTGGTGGTTCTGAGCCTGCTCTCCACTCCTCACCGGCCTTAGGCAAAGCTCATCTCCTCTCTGAGCCTCCATGTCCTCCCTTCTTGGCGTCAGAATCCAGGATTTAAAGGGGTTGTGCATGCAAAGTTCTGAACACAGGGCCCAGCCCATAGTAGGTGCTCAGTAAAATGTGGCTCCTATTAATGCTCAGGACGAATAAATGGGGCAGGTCGACCAGCTCTATGACTAGGTGGTGGCTTCCTCTTCTGAGCCTTGGCATTAAAAAAAAAAAAATTTTTTTTTTAAATTGTAATCTCTACTCTCAATGTGGGGCTCAAACTCACAACCCCGAGGTCAAGGGTCACACGCTCTACTGACTTGGCCAGCCGGGCGCCCCCAGCCTTGGCATTTTTCATCTGAGAGATGAGCATAAGAATATCTCCCCAGTGTTGTGCCATGAGATGCTGTTCCCAGCACCCGAGGAGTGAGAGCCACGATGGACTCTTGACGTGAGTCAGCCTCCCCACAAGTGGGCAAGGTAGGCCACCCGCCATTTTACAGAAAAACAGGCCCAGAGAGATGCCATCACTCACCGGGTGTAACACAGCTTGGGAGTGGTGGAGCAGAGATTCAGAGTCACTTGTGTGTGCCCACCTGCCGTCGGGCAGCATTTTAGGTCACGTGGAAGGAAACAGAGTCTGAGGAGTCACAGGAGATTGTTGAGAGGTTTGTGAGCAGTTAGGGGACCATTACATGTGCACACAAGGAGACACACAGGGAAAAAATTCACCGCAGGGCGATTTTTGGTAGCAAAAGCGGAAACAAAAAGTCCATGTGCGGGAGAACGGGATGCACATGGGGTGACGTGGGCGGCCAGTAAAGTACTCAGCAGGCGAAAAGACGGAGCTCTACTCGTCAACCCAGCTGCGTCTCAGAAATGACATGAAAATGACACAACACATGCAGCGTGCAACAGTTGACTTGTTTTCAAAAGGCGAAACATCGGGTGCCGTTAGGGACGTGCCTCCGTAGTGGAGGTGTGAACCCATGCAGGTGAGTGACTCCCAATTCCCGAGAGGGGTTCCCTCTGGGGGACGGGAGGAGGGCTTTGCCTGTCTCGGCTTCAGGTCTTGTTTTACTTCTTAAGCTGGGTAGCGGGTCCACGGGTCTTTCTTACACTGATAGGTATGCTATTTTGCACGCTTGAAGCATTTCATAATTAAAAAAACAAAATGCAACTGTCACCCACACAGAGGAGCATGGGCCTCAAGAGTTCGTGATTCCTGTGTTTGCATCTCCGCTCTGTCAGCCGACTGGTTGTCTGGGCCTGTTTCTTTGGTAATCTGGGCTCTCCGCCACCCTTGTGCCCCTCGTGAGGCTGCAAGGACACAGTTCCCCCTCTCTGGCCTGAGGGCCCTCCCCCGTTCCCTTCCCTCTGGCGACCCAGGTGTTCTGTTGCGACCCTTGCTGTATAGCAGGTCACCAGCCCCTCCGTGCTTTAGTTCCTCCTTATGACCCCCCACCTAGGAAGAAACCCTGGGCTCAGATAATGCAGCCCTAGAATTCGCCTCCATCTGCTGAGGCGGTTTCCAGGCCCTCGACTGCCCCCCAGTGGCCGCAGAGGCACAGCTGCTGGATTGCAGGCCCTCAGGCCAGACCAGCCTGCAGGGACACCACCCACCGGCCACTTAGCCAGCACTGCTGGTGTCTGCCGACAAGGTCCTGGGCCTTGCTGCCTTGCGTTCGCATGTCCACTCTAAGACGTCTTCTTCCTCAGTTGACAAAAAAGGAAACTGGAGCCCAGAACAGGGAGGGAGTGACTGGCCCAAGGCCATGCCCAGGCATGTAACCCTTCAGGCCTTGTTTTTCCATTTCCCTTACTTCCATGGGGCAATGAGCTGCAGTGGCTAGAGCCTACTCACCCAAGTTCAAATTCCAGCTTTGCCACCCCCTCGTTGTGGTACATGGGCAAACGACCCAACCTGTGACATACTTTCCCTATACCCAAAATGCGGGTGCTTTTGGGCACCTTCACAGGGTTGCCTAGTTGCATTAAGTGATATATTTATTAAGTGCCTTGCACGTGATAGGCTGTTTATGGAGCACAAACTTCTGAGCTGGAGCTGGGAGGGATGACAGTTTCATTCCCCACCGGATGTGGGACTCCGGTTTGATTTTTTCCATCCTGAACACCAAGTAACTGGTCGTGTGCTTGGTGCACTGCTCTGAGCCAAGACACTATTGATATGGTGACTCTGCAGGTCCCTCAGGAGTGACACAGACAAGCAGCGGAGGGCTCAAAGGGGGAGTAAGTTGCTCAGGATTGCAGAGAATTAGGGTCAGAGCTGGAAGGTTATTGAAAACGAGTCACTTGAGTTCAAAGCCCAGGCTTCGCACTGGAAGTAAATGGGTCCAATAACTTGGGCTGGGGGAAATCGGGAGACTTGGCCGAGCCAGCTCAGGCTCTGCTTCGTGTTCCCCGAGGAGGAGGTGGGTTTGGAAGCATGGGGCCAATTCTCCAGGCTCAGCTTTCTGGGGTCTGGCACATGCCCACTTGGTGCCCTTCAGAGCTCCCACCCCAGCTGCACCGAGAGCCAACTGCCATGCAGGACTGTAGAGGCGGTGCCGCCCGACGGCCCAGCCCAACCTCCGCGCAGGAGCCTCACACAACCCTCCCTGCGGGCAGTGGTGGGTGTGGGAAGTGGCACCGCATCCCAACTCCGGGCAGGGACAACTAGCTCCAGAAGGTGCACACCAGGGACCCTCAAGGAGCCACCAAGAGTGAAAGCTGGCTGTCCCAAGTCTACCTCCTTTAGGGAAGAAGCCACTTGCCCCTCCCGCTTTGTTCCAGCAGGGGACAGAGAGCCACCTCTGCAGTGCAGGCCCCAACTGGGGCCACCGCTTCAACAGCCACTCTTTTCAGTTTCTCATCTTACTGAGAACTGCAAACGCAGGATGTGGGGGGAGGGGCGAGAGCCTCCAGGTCCCGGCCCCACCCAACCACCAGCCCAGCTGGGGCACAGGGCCCACTAGAGGTAGAAGGGCTTCAGTTGGGAAGGCTGGGCCTCAGGCTCTAGTGGCTCTTGGTGCCACAGCCCCCCAGGTCCCCCCTTTCACGAGGGAAGAAGTGCTGTGCAGTGCTCCTTCCTCCTGCCCCGCAATGGAAGAGGAGAGCCAGTCAGAGACCCAGACCAGGATTACGAACGAGGCAATTTATTGACCCAGCATTTGTTCTAATGCTTCTTGTTGGCAGCTGCCACCTGCGGGAAAAGATGGGGAAGTAATCAGGATGGGCCGTGGGGTCTGTGTTCGGGCACTCTGGAGCAGCTACCCACCACCCGAGGGACACCAGCCAACTGGATTTGTGGCCTGACATGCGTTCATCCGATCTGATCCCTGCAACCTCAGGCACGTCCTCATTTTACAGAAGCGTCAACTGGGACTGACTCAAAGACAGGAAGTGGGATTGCAATGCCCACTGCCCTGTCACCCACACAGATGTCCGTGCCAGGCTCTGCCCTGCCCTGGAAGAGTTCCCCAGCTCCTCCAGGCCGCCCCCGGACGTCCAGGGGGCGGACACCTTCTATTCTCTTCTGCTCCTGGACTAAGTGACTAAGCCCTCTCCAAAGCTCCTACGAGGCCTGAGTCAATGATAAAGAAGAAAACCAACAATGGGTTCACGCCTGGCCCTGGGGGCTCCCGCTGCTGTAGCTCACTGAGCCCTCACTACCACCCTCTGAGGCTGGCAAGAGGAGACTGCTCCATAGACGGGGAGATTGGCTCCAGGCAAACGGACTCTGCCCCAAGGTGTCCAGCCAGTCAGTCATCTGGACGGAGACCTGAGTTCTGAGCTGGCTTGCCTCCCCCTCTCCAAAGCCTTCCCATCTGGTGCTCAGCAAGCATGAAGAATAGGAGGAAACAGTGCAGCCAGAATCCTAAGAAGGCTGACCTGGGAAGAGGGAGTTGTGTGTGCAGGAACATGTCCTGCATGAGAAACAAGCCCAGCTGCACTCCAGCACCAACATTTCCAACCAGCTCTAGCAGGAAGTCAGTCAGAAATGTTCTTTCTCCTGCACCCGCCACCCCCCGCCCCCCACCACAGGCCAGCCCTCCTCTGATCCCCACCAGGCTGGGCTGTGACCTCCAGGGAGGAAACTCTGATCTAACAAAGCCCAGGCTCTGAAAATTCCCCGGGCAGTGTCTAAGGGACCCAGCCCTGGCACACCCAGGCCTCACCTGTCCAGCGATTCTGTCCAGATCTCTCTGTCCCTGAGGCGTCAGTTTGCGGCCCCTGTGGGAGAACAGTCAAGCAGCCCCCCATTAGTGCAGGCTCTCAGCCCTGTCGCTGCCAGGCCCCTCCTAGATGTGAGCCAGGCTTCCCAAGAAGGCACCTGGCCATGGGACCACATGACAGCAGCCAAGTCCCACTGAGGGCCCCGGTCGGCTGCATTCTAACGAACTAGGGGCAGGAGTGGGAGCCCCCCTGGGAGCTGCCGGGGTGTCGTTTGTGCAAGCATTAGATCAAAAGCCCCGAAAAATCAATTGGGAAAAGTTAACGAGCAGGCTAATGAAAGCGGACAGTCGCCAAATTACCTTCCTGGAGCTCAGGGTAGTCAGCCAGAGAGGTCGGGGTGAGGCCCCTCACTGTTCACTTTTCTGCACAATCCCCTGCCTGCCTGAGGGGCAGCTGCACACCGTGCAGGACAGACCTGGCACCTCTCCATGTGGGGAAGGATGGCTCTAGACAACTTCATTACAGGTGATCTGACCCCAAGTCTCCTCACCACCCGTTCCCAGCCATCCCCCTGCCCCTGCTTACCCATCTTGGTCCTTTTCCACCATTTTCAGCCCCTCTAGGGCTTGGAGGACCCTGCGGGCCACGCTCTTGGAGCCTCTACTGAAGTGGCTGGGCATGACCCCGTTTCTCTGACGTCCCCCGTAGATCTTGGTCATGGAGCCGACCCCAGCGCCACCCCGGAGGTATAGGTGCCGTGCTGTGGAAGCTGGGGGGGGGGGTGGTGGGCAGGAGATGTGAGGACCCTTCTCGAGCACAGAAGACTCCTCTCCACAGTTGAGGCAGGCCAAGGGAAGGGCCTTGCTCGAGGTCACACACCTATCAATTTTGTGTGTGTGGCCGCTAATTCTTCCCATTATATAGCCTGCGGAAACGGAGAACACACACCAAGACCCAGTACCAGGCCCCCGCCGCTAGCTATCCTGCAGCTAAGCTTCCCTGCACCCTGTGCCCAGCCAGGGAGACCAGAGGGCCTGCCACAGCTGTGCTGCTGTGAGGGAGGACTCTGTCCTGCGGGTAGACCCTAGCAAATGCTTAAGCCGTGACTGTCCATCTCCACATGCCCAGGCCCGAGGGACAGCAGGGTAATGCGAAGGGCCATGCCGCCACCTGAGTGCAGCTCCCCGAGCCCCTCAGCCCCGGAGAACTCAGGGCTAGAGCGGACATCCCATGCAACCTGGAATGGGGATACCCCCACGGACACAGGGTTCTCATCCCTAGCTTGGCTTGGGCAAGTCCCCGGTCCCTCACTGTTCTGTTCAACAGGACCGCTTCTCCACCGGGCCCTGTGCCATCTGCTTTTCGTTCTCTCCCCCAAGGCAGTAAGATGGCCTCAGGACCCGGCCTGATGGTATGGCCTCGGCAAGTCACTCACCCTCATCTGAGAATCAGGAGTAACAGTCCCTGAGAAGAGCGTGGCTGTGAGCACTGCCCAGTTGTCTACTATTCTCCTTCACAGAAAAGCAAACAGGCTCCGGAGGATACTCACTGGCCTCATGTCACACAGCTCTGAGGAACAGCCCCTCCAGACTGTTCAGGCTTTCTACCTCAGGGGGCCACTGCAATGTGGAGGCAGTAGGGCCTGATACAGGGACTCCAGGTCATTCCAGGGCCCCTAGAGCCCAGCACGTAGGCTTTAGTTCTACAGATCAGAGGGGGAATCAGGATTCACTCCGTAACTACTTACTCCTAAGAGCTGGTACCAGGCCATGTCCATGACCCTCCAGTGTGGCCAGCTCAGGGTGGGGGTGAAGTGGGTACTCCTCCCCTCAGCCTGCCCCTCCCAGAGTAGTTCTTCCACACCACTTGTTCCCCACCCCCACCCCCGTAAGATGGTCTCCGGATACAGCCACGGCTTTGGGAGCCACAGCACAGCCGAAACTCTCCCCACCTATCAGGACCACCATACAACCGCTCCTCAGTTTCACTGCTTCCGGCCTCTGCTCACTTTAACACTCTTCTCCTTGGTTCTTCCTACCCCACACCCTACCCCCCCACACATCCAAGACCAAAACTCCCCTTCCAGTGGTATCAATGGAGAACTCCAGACTTTAAGACCAGCTCGCATGCCCAACACCTACCACCCTTCCTCTCGAGCCTGTCCCAGGCCACGCCCTGACCGGGCTGGAGAGAGCAGGACATCCTCACGAAGGGGGTGAGATGAATACTCCTAAACACACAGACGCCCAGGAGATGCCTGGCCAAGACCGGACCAACGTTCCGCCCGGTCCTCATCTGGGCTCCATGAAAAGGGGTGGCCAACCCCTGGGCTGTCTGGTAACATAGGGTCTGGATCCCAGCACTGCTCCTCCTCAGCTGTTCAGAGTCCACCCCGGATTCAGGTGGTCTGGGCCACGGTACCTAAAGGGCACGACTTCCTTAAATCCCAAGGAGTGGCAGAGAATAAGCTCCAGCCAAGTTCAACATATTAGTTTCTTCAAGGAAGGGGTGGTGGGCTCCGTTAATTTTTTTTTTAAAGCTGCATAAAACTACCTGGTGTGGTGTCAAGCGTCACGAGCCTAGGTGTCCCCCCACCCAACCCAGTTGATAATGATTTTCCTGACCCATTACAAGGCAGAGTGTTAAACTCCACAAACTGAAAAGGTATTACAGTCGAAATACACGAGTTCTACAAAATATTGACCTGTTTTTCACACCCCCCCCACCCCACTTGAGACCCAGGTCCCAATCCCTTTGAAGTGGAGTTGTAGCATCACAAATCCAGGCCATCCTAGCCGCTGTTTATAAGGGTCACAGCGAGCCAGGTGTCATCACAATTGGCTTCTCCTTAAGTCCCTCTGAAGGCTTTCTGCTGTGCTCCTCTTGGGAAATCCCGTCCCTAGTAACCACTAGTCACTCCACACCTCCTCCAACCGTTAAGGAGAGACCAGCACCGGGCTGCCAGCTGGAGGACGGTCACGAGGGAGGGTGCACTGGAGCACCGCAGCCCAAGGAAGCTGCACAAGCGTCTTTGCAGCTCAGCGTCTCAACAGCTGGCTTTAAGTTCAGATCTGTGATCCCATCCTGACCTACAGAGTCACAAAGTGGGGAAAGGAGGCCTCCCAGATAGATCTTGCCCTCAACCCTTCTCCGCCAAGCTTCTTTTTTTTTTTTAAAGATTTTATTTATTCATTTATTTGAGAGAG